AGAATACGGAGCTCCTCAGCACAGCGCCTAGATCTAGACACAGAACCCGGCGTACAGAGCACGGACTAGGCCTCTGAAGTATGGTAAATGGGTTGAGAGCCCAGATCAGTGCCAGAAACACTAGAGACCTTGAGGCCAGGACACCAGGGGGGCCCTGCGGATTAAGAGAAGGATCCTCACCTTCACCCGAGACACTGAAGGACGAGGCAAAACAGCCGGGCGCCTGAATAGGGAGGGATCGCACCAGGGGTCTGCGAACCTTAGGGAACATGCTCACGGGTTTACCGCTCCAACCATCGTCTGCCCTCACCAGCCAGGAGGATGCAGAGCCCGCTGGGAGAGGCCTGCAAGGCCCTGGGGGCCACCCTGGCCCGAGCTGCCTCTCTGCCCGCTCGGCGAGAGCCCACCCCCACTGTCCCGGCTCACCTCCCGCGGGCCGGTCCAGCTTGAGGATGTCCCGTAGGTGCTGCGTGGCGTCCTCGATGTCGATGCTCGCGCAGGAGGCCATGGGCCCTGCGGCAGGCGCCCTGTACGCGCCGCGTTCGTTTCGCTGCCGCCACTCACTAGCCAAGCACAGCCGCGCCGGGACTAGACACGGCACGCCGGTCACTACAACCCGTCTACCTGCCGCCCACAAACCACTGCAGCACCAAGTCCCTGAGCCCCTCCAAGCCCAACTGCCTCCACTTCCGGCCAACCGGGCCTCAGCCCCCGGAACCTGCACAGACCGGAGAAGAAAGGTTCCGGGCTGAAGGCGGACACCTCGCTCTTCCTAGAGCGCGTCTCCCTCCGCTACCCAACCCATGCCCGCAGGGTCCGGTGAATTTCGCAGCGTTGGAGCAGAGCAAATGTCCACGAACTGGACCGCCCAAAGCTCTACTGGCCTCAGGATATCCCGCCCAGTCCATGCCCATTCCCAAGGCATGCGCTCATGATGGGCCTAGGACCCGGTCAATTCCACCACCCAGGCCGTTCTCAGAAGCCTCCAAGAACAAGCTGAATTGGCAGGAACCTGTTTCCCCTTTAGGAAATAGGTCGGTGTAACCCAGTGCCTGAGGGGACCCACAATCTCAGGAGGTCCAGGAATTGCAAGGTCACGAGAGATATAGCCCCCCCCCAAAATCACATTGTTCCCTAATAGCCCCCCAGCATCCCGTTGCCCAATCTGGTATCCTTAGGCAGGAAGAAAGAAGCCACAGTTTACAAACACCTCTTTATTGCAGACATTTCAGGCACAGGTACATGGAAGAAGCTGTATTGCAGATTTTATACAGGGTGGTTTAAGAGGCAGCAAGCCCCTACCTCTTTCCCCAACCCCTCAAATACACAGTAGCCCAGATATCAGTCCCACTGAAATCTCCCGAATATGCTCTCCTCTCAAACAGCACATCATCCGGCTCTACCCAGTGTAGCCAGGCAACCTCTGGGCATGAGGGAGTCCTGGGCCTCCATCCATAGTAGAGGAAAAGGGGGGTACAGGTCAGGCATAGTTGTGATGTCCTCAGCAATCCTAGAGTCCCTAACAGGGCACCAGCGGAAGTCTTGGGTTTGGTTCTAGTCTGTGATTGCTACCTTCCCACCAGAGTTTACACCACCAGGTCTCAGGGCTAGATTTGCCATGGGCAAGGCCTCTGTCCCCAAAACTAAGCATAAATTGCCCCAATAGCTAAGACTTCCTGGGACTTGAAGACAGTGAGCTGTGTGGTGAGGAAGGGAATAGGAGGCCTAAAGGTGCTTTGCAGAGGGGTCTGAGGGGTGAGAAATCCTAGAGCACAAATCCCTCAAACTCAGATTTCATAGCTCTGAGTCTATACTCCAACCAACCAGGCCTGGATCTGTGCTCATTGGAGGCTGGCTGTTCTGGGCACTTGCTTTTGAGCCGTGTTATCTAAAGCAGATGGTACAGGATCTGAACTGCCCTCTTCTTGGCTTGCGGTTTGTGGGGCAACCAGGATATGATCCTAACCCTTCTGGGGATAAAACAGGCCCCTCTCCCTCAAACTTGCTCAGAGGGCCTGAAGAAATGGGCCGTTTTTGCCAAGACCTCTCCATGTTCAGTGGGATTATGGGTCACCTGTCCTGTTACTAGAGCCCTGCCCCTGCCCCTGCCCCTACCCCGTGTAGAGGTCACAGGAGGTGTCAGAACTGACTGCAGAGGCTTCAGTGCAAGGGAAGCTTCAGGACAGACATGAGCTCTCCCTATCTGCAGCTCACTTTCCCAAGACCAGAGGGGCTGAGGAGGGCAACACTCTGCCCTATAGGGCTTCTGAGAGAAGCTAGCTGGGAGTGCTGCTTCAGCAGTTTTCTCCTTGCAATAGGTATTGCTGAGTTGGGGTAGAGGTGGGAGGGTGAGACATGAGAGAGCCAATGGGGCAGGGTAGTTATTGATGCCCAGCCAACTATTAAACTAATTAAAACAATTTAAACTGTTAAGAAAATTTTTGTGGTTTTATTGTATCATGAGGCATTGAAACATCTGAACAAATCAATATCTGGGCGGTGAGGCAGCTGCTTTCTCCTTCACTTCTTTGGGTTACTAGAGCAACTTGTCAGTAGATTAAAAAAAAAAAAAGAAAACCTTTTGCATTACTTAAGTCTTTCCAAGGCATGCGCTGGTACAACACAAACTTCTCCTGTCAGATGTAACTAGTCTAGTGTCCAAACATCATGCACAATACCTAGGCAGCAGCAGTGCACTGCGCCCACTCCCACTTCAGCCCTGATCATTTGTGTATGATATTTGGAGCATCTGGAGGAGTGCGAATAGTATTGGGAAGAGGAGGGAGGAGGAAACAGCATGAGTGCCTGGCTGGGAAGAGGTCAGCCGAAGTTGTGCAGGGCAAGCCTGAACATGTCATTGGTGCAAACCCAGGCATCGTTGATGTTCTTTAATAGAAACATCTGGTGGAACCCCATGATGGGGTCTTCATCAGCCTGTAAAGAGAGAAAAATGATTCAGTAAGGGGGCCAGGGAACAGGAAGGGAGTTCAGTGGTAGGGTAACAGAGCAAAGAATGCCAACTCTGGGGTCAGGTCCTACTGTCTTGAACTCAGATCCCAGCAGAGCCAAGGAATACTTGTGAATATGAATTGATTTAATGTATGAAACACTGCACTGGGCACACAGGGGCCTATAGATGGCAGTTCATACTGCTATTTGCACTTATACTGCAGAACAATTTACCAGTTAGCTACAGCAAAAGAGCAGAGAACCTACCTGTCTCTAAGCCCGTGCCTCTGGGCACAAGTGATCAATTTGAAAGACTTCTGCGGTGCTCACCTCATAACTTACAGTATCTAAAAACTAAACACTCTTACACTAGTTAATCCAATCAGAACCAACTGCTAATACTGTGGCCAAATATATGAGAAAAGGTTTAAAACTGAGTTCACAACTGTGATCACAGCTCTACAGGGGAAAAACACAAAGCATCGCCATCAGTGATCCATGAAAACAGAAAAGCAAAAGACCTCCAGCCAAACTGCGAAAGACCAGAATGAGGTAGCAGCCCAGCTAATCAGTGTTGTCTCTAACATCACTGGTTTTTCTGGGAATTATTATCAGCAAAGAGGCAAATCAGTCTTTTGAGGGCTCGGAGTTAGACAGAAACAGGAGAAAGAAGCTGAAGCCATGTGGGAAAGGGCACTGCTTACTGAGCCCAGCCTGGGAAAGTGGGCACTGATCCCTCTGGAGAGAACACCTCACTCCCAAGGGGCCATTTGAGCATAGCCTCTGGGCAGGGCATCTTGGACAGGCAGGAGAAACTAATAGGAAAGTCCAGGCCAGAAGTCAGGTCCCTCTGAGTCCACTGCTGAGCCTTGGGGGTCCCTCTTTCAACCTTTGTATTAGACTCAGGAAGCCCTGCCTAGCCTAGGGATAGGGCCTTTTATTCTGAGCCCCATCATGACACAGTTCCAGGAGGCTGGGACCTTGTCAAGGGGCAGCCAATTTGTTCTGCTTTGGGAAGGAAAGGCTTTTTAGAAACAAAGAATCTGGCTTCAGTCTGCTAAAGCACAATAGGTAGGAGATTCTGGGAGAGTTTGGGGGGAGGGGGTGCTGAGGGGCCACAGGAAAACTTTGTAGATGACAGGTCTTGAGAAGAAGGGGAAAATACAGGGAGAAGCAGGAGTTCCGGAAATCTGCTATGCTCAGTAGCTCAGGGAGTAGCAGCGTGGACTCCAGTAGGGGACTGCTACTCAGCACCCAGCTGGCCTGTCCAGGGTCAATTGCCTACAAAAGGTGAACCTCCACGTTGGGGTAGTATGAAGGCCCAGTGGCTTGGCACTGCAGCCCCATCCCGTTCCTATACCTTTTGTTCCTTTTCCAAAAAGGCTCTAAACCAGTGAAACTTCTAAACCACTAGAAAGTTCTAAAGCCCTAGAACTTTCTGCAATAACAGGAATGTTCTATGTCTGTGCTGTCCAATAGGCAGCCACAAGTGACTGTGTACTTGAAATATGGCTAGTGTAACTACATTTTATTTCATTTTAATAAATGTAATTTTTAAAATTACCACATGTGGCCCTGGCTGGCGTGGCTCAGTTGGTTGGGTGCCCTCTCATGTAACAAAAGGTTGCTTGTTTGATTCCCAGACAGGGTACATGCCCAGGTTGCAGGCTCAATCCCCGGTAGGGGGTGTGCAGGAAGCAGCCGACTTATGTTTTGCTCTCACATTGATGTTTTTCTCTCTCTCTCTCCTTTCCTCTAAAAATCAATAAAAAATCTTTAAATAAATAAAAAAATTACCACATGTGGCTGGTTGCTATTGTATTGAATGAACTACACAGCTTTAGATAATCACTTGTCTGGGTGTCCCTTGATAAGCGGGTCACATAACAGGAAAGCAGGGGCGCGAGGCTCTTCTCTGTCTGCCCGCTTCTCCCTAGCAGCACTATTACCTTAAGCTGGCCCACAACCATGCTGATGATGCAGCTATCTGGCGTGGGCTGATGGTCCTGCGCCGTGATGCTGTGCTGGATTTTCTGGAACGGAAGGCTCTGAAAGAGAAAGAGTGGGTGGTGAGTTGCGGCCAGCAGGGAAGCAGATGCCTGCAGTCTTACCCTGGCCCTTACTTACAGACAACTTCTCCACAATGGCAGCTTTCCCCTGGAATTGTTGTCCTTCCCACGTAAGGCATGAAGCGTCAATCTGAAAACCAGAAAACCTCAGGTCAGGGTCTCAGAGCACCAAAAGTATCTCTGAGGGCCTGAAAAGACCCCTAAAAATAATCTTTCTTAGGGAATGAGTCCACGCCTCAGCTTCCCTGTCTGTAAAGAAGGGAACTGAGGGCAGCTTCCAAACTTTACACTGTTAACAACTTCTTTAATTATACCCTGTTGTCCCAGAGTTCAGGCTCTAAAAACTAACAAAATATAGGCCCTGGCCAGTGTGACTCGGTTGGTTGAGTGTCATGCCATGCACCAAAGGGTCACTGGTTCGATTCCCGGGAAGGGCACATAGAAGAATCAACCAATGAATGCATAAATAAGTGGAATAACAAATTGATATCTCTCTCTCCCTTCTCTCTCTCTAAAATAATCAATCAATAAATAAAAAATTTAAGGAAATAAAAACTAACAAAATATAAACTTATTAAATAAGTCTGTTTTGAAGTTTTTATTCAAGAAGTCATATGACCCCCGATATGCAGAAGCTCCAGGCTGGCCATGTGGCCAAGGCTCAGCCAAAAGCGATCCTGCTGTGTGGTCAATCTGCACCAGTCCCAGAAGTCATCAGAAATAACTTGGAAACATTCTACATTCCAAGTTATTTAGAGCCTAGGTTGTGTTCCACTGAGGTCTTTCTATGGGGCTCCCACAGGGTCAGGGAGAGATGGAAGCTGACAAGACCTCCAAAGGCAACCCACTAGCTTCACCTCTCCCTTCCAGATCTTCTCTGCCACAGCTCTCAGGGGCAGAACTCAAAAGGGCCTCTGCTACTTACTGGCTATGACATTAAGCAAGTTAGTTATTTTTCTGAATCTCAGTTTCCTGATATTCAAAGGGGATATGTGCTGTGGATTATATGAAATGACATACATAAAGTGTTCTTTTAGAACTTTGCTAACTCTTCTCTGGGTCAGGGGGGCTTTAATTTTTTTTTTTTTAATTAATATATCTTTATTGATTTCAGAGGGGAGGGGAGAGGGAGATAGAAACGTCAATGATGAGAGAGTCACTGATTGGCTGCCTTCTGCACCCCC